TTTATTGTCAAAAGTTTGACAAGAGGATGTTTCAATCATGGTTTTAAAGTTAAAAGACTAAAATTAAAGATTAACCTTTAAATTTGATGATTTTGGTTGCCAATTCATTGGCATAGGATTTTGTTGATGAAAAGGCTGTGTTCAGAAGAGGACAGCGGCATTTTGACAAAAAAGATGTGTTGGAGGGGGACTCTTATGTCTTGTTATGGCATAATGTAGAGCATCAAACCTGAATCGTTCAAGGACATTATTCCTTAAACTTGGTCACCTCGGCTTTGCCGGCTTCTAATCTTGTTTTAAATCCCTTAATTGACGTGTTTATCGATGTCGCTTCCAGTTACAGAATAAAGACATACATAAATATCAACCAACATAGGTTATATAAATCCTTATTCAACATCGTATGCAACGCAAGTCTAACTAATTCAACAACATGCCAGCTGAAGAATCGTGTATTGCCACCGTCAAAGAAGACACCGGCGATTCCCGGCAGGAATCGGACGGGAGCAGCTTGGACACAAGGACTGGAATTTACAGTTCACTGTTCCAGTTTGGTGAATATCATAGAACACCCTCCAGTCCCAACCTTCACACTGCCTCATTCGTGCTCTCGCAATTCCCCCACCCTTACCATGCCGACTCAAGAGTGGCATTCATTGACGCTGTTTCGAACCGGCAGCTCACCTACGGACAACTCCGCCGATCAATCCGAGCACTTGCCTCCGGTCTTCACCATGTTGGGATCAACAAAGGCGATGTTTTCTTTGTTCTGTCCCCTAAGTCACTCTCATACCCTGTAATATGCCTCGTCATTTTCTTAATTGGTGCGGTTCTCTCACCCGCCAACCCCATCAACACTGCTTCGGAAATCGCCAAACAAGTAGGAGATTCCGGCGCAAAACTCGCCATTTCCGCACCCGAGGAACTTCACAAGCTGGTGCAAACAGGGGTGTCTACGATTATTACTAGTCGTTAATTGGACCAGGATTTACTATCCGTGGAAGAATTGATAGAATGTTGTGACCCCATTGAGTTATCAGAGTCAAACCTGAGGCAGACGGACACGGCGGCTATACCGTGCTCCTCCGGCACCTCCGGAACAAGCAAGGGTGTAGTATTAACGCATGCAAATTTCATAGCCATAATCAGACTCCTGAGATGGTCCGTAGACGCAACATCGTCCCAAAATGACATATTTTTCTGTTTTATACCAATGTTTCATTTTTACGGACTTGCATTTTTCGGGTTGGGATTGTTGTCTTCTGGAATCACCTCTGTTTTGATGCAGAGGTTTGATATGGAAGCCATGATTGATGCAATTCAAGCTCACAAAGTGAACAACATTCCCGCCGTTCCTCCGGTGATCCTTGGCCTAGTGAAGCAGGGAAGATTGGGAAGTAGATTGGCATCCCTGAGGAGGGTTGGCTCAGGGGCTGCACCATTGAGCAAGGAAGTGACCTCTGCATTCAGGGAAAGGTTTCCGTGGGTGCAGCTGAGGCAGGGCTCTGGTCTGACTGAAACATCTGGGGAGGCAACATTTTTCGTATCGGACGAGCAGGCTAAGGCGCGGCCAGTGTCGTCTGGAGCATTGTTACCGAGTTCTTGCTGAAAAGTCCAACCATCATGAAAGAATATTTCGGAAATGAGGAAGCCACCGCCACGATCCTTGATAAAGATGGGTGGCTGAGAACTGGAGATCTCGGTTACTTCGATGAAAATGAATTTCACTACATTGTTGATCGGATTAAGGAGCTTATCAAGCATAATGGGTGTCAGGTAACTCTTACGGTAACATTTGCCTAAAATCCCAACCAAATTGTTTCGAAAACTGAATATGTTCAAATGTTCTTGCAGGTAGCTCCAGCAGAACTGGAAGCAGTACTTCTCAGTCATTCCCAATTTTGGATGCTGCAGTTTTACCGTGAGTTGCAACCGCAAAAATGTCTACTTTCTCTGTTTCTTCTCCTCTGATGCCGATGACTGCCCAGGGTTGAAGATGAGGAATCAGGACAGAGCCCAATGGCAAATGTAGTCTGAGCAACTGGGTCTGAATTCACCGAAGCACAAGCCATTGAGTTTGTAGCTAGACAGGTTTGGTCATTGGAACTCTTAATCTTCTTACCATAGCTTGCAATCCAGGAAAACCTTGTAACTGTCTAGACACATTTTGCAGGTTGCCCCTTAGAAGAAAGTAAGAAGAGTGGGATTCATCAGCACCATTCCTAAGTCAGCTGCAGCAAAAATCTTGAGCAAGCAATTACCTTCGGAAAGCCAAAAGCAGATTCTGTGCAAATTGTAACCTGTTTTTGAGTTGCATCTGTAATTCACTCTGGCTATGAAGATTAGATAAAGGAGTACAAGCTTTCCTATAAATTAATAGTTCACCTATGCCTCCAGTTTCTGAATTGTATAAACTGTTTAGATATCTACTAAAATCTCAAGATTTATATAACTCAAGAGTAGTATTCCAAAAAAAAAAGAAAAAAAGAGAAGATCATACCAGGTAACACAGGAGACAGAAAAGTAGCACGTACTAAAATGTTTTAATAAAATCAACAAATTAAATAACCATGCAACCTAGAAAATAGCAATTTTGCCACCTAGACTAATGTTCCTGTACCTAGTTCGGAATTTGTCTCCTGAAGACATTTCTCCAGCAGTCAAAGGCTAGCAAGCTTCTTTTAAGAATTTTGCCAGATATGATGCAGTATTTCATGTCCTTCAAGTACATGCCGCTAAGGTATCTGCTGGCTTTCAATCATAATACTAATGTTTCTTCAGAGATAATACGGCCATAAATCCTTGCAAAATCCATGCTGAGGTATCTGCAACGTCTAGTTGCCACCAGCCATCCACCGCCAGACACCAGAACCTTGCCTCTGGGCCGCTGAATTTAGCTCCATCTCCTGTTCCAGCACAGATTTCTGTCTCCTGAGTATTTGTACTTCATTTTCTATGGACTGCAATGATTCCAGCATCTTCTGTAATTCTGCAATTTGTGCCTGGAAGAAAATGAGTTGGATACTAAGTAAAGAAACAAACTAAAAGTGGAGAATGAAATGAAAAAGCATCATGCAACCAGAGAAACCTCAAGTTTGAAGCATCTTGATCTCTCAGTTACCAGCTGACCTTGGACAGAATGGAGTTCCTGCAACAGATCGTGGCAGAAATGAGATGATGAATTTTAAATGATTGTTGGCCAAAGGATTGGCAATTACCCTTAGAGGTCGATTCAAAAGCACACCTTGGATAATTCAGCATGAGTACCATTTACTTCGTCAATCTTCTCCTGGAGCCTAGAATTTTCTGATCTTACTTCCTCAATTGAAATTTGCAATACCCTTTTCTCTTCTTTAATTGCTTCAATTTCAACAGTGAAGTCTTGTTCAGGGTGATTGTTTCCCTTAAAGTTCAAATCTATTTCAGGAAAATCCAACTTTTCAGATTTTGCCAAGGCATAAGCAGCTGTAACAGAAGCAGCAGCAGCTGCAGCTGCTGCTGACTGGTAAATCTTGGGACGTGATAAGTCTCTTGGTTTCAGTCTCATAACAAAAACCTAGAAATAGAGAGAAGGAAATGAACACACAAAAGAACAGGTAAATGGCAAAGACCATTAATAAATTGGGGAATAAAAAGATGATTCATGCTGGGATGGACTCAGTGCCAGTTCAAGCAAATGGTGTGCATGTATTATCCCTTAGCACAATATCTATGTATGTCATTACTAATGCGAGCATACCTCATTATTGTACTTCCCATTATAGCCACCAAATGCCACTAAATATTTCTCCCCATTAATTAGTGCTGAGCAAATGCTGAGTCCCTGCATTTTATTTTACCAAGTAACAGATATCATGTATGGCAATGATTGTACTTAAAATCTCCATATGGGAATTCAATCACATCAAAGTAATGCCATGGATATGTTGGGTGAATAGCAAACATGTCTATAAGGACACCTGTCATCAACATGACATATTAGATAACCTTACATTTTGATAGGGGAATGTGTATAAAAACATTTTCTGTAGAGGAGATGTGGAAGCAGGAACCAAAAATAAATAAATTGAGCATATAGCTTCAATTTTCATGCATGCAGATGCAGTATTGGCAGTCACCAGAATGCATCAAGCAGTTACCTCGCTAGCTAGTGGATGCCTTTCCTTTAAAGTTGTTAACTTCGACCAAACCAACTTAGACATGTTTAACACAAGAGTTTCCAGGCAACCTGTTAAGAAAAAAGTTCATTAGCATGACAAACACCGTCACAAAAGGATGAAAATATAAGTCATACATACCATTGTTGTTATCTCCACCACCAACAATGTACCACATTTCATCAATGGTTATACCAGCATGACCAGCCCTAGGAGTCACCAAATCGCCCTGAACTTGTGGCTGGGACCACTCCATCTGCATAGTAACCCACGTAAATATTCAAACAACCAAACTTTCATGCTATTAAGAAGCACACCAGATTAAAGCATGAAAAGGGAACGTATATTTCTTTAGTTTATCATTATGCTGAAGGCTGTTCTAGCAGCTATTTTCATGTGTTTTAGAGGAACTGAATAACCATACAACTGGAAGGGGTTTTTGCCGGGGGAGGAAGATGCCAAAGAGTTTCGTTCCTCAGCAATCGGAGTTTTAATCTAAAAGAAGCTACTTGTATCAAATAGGCATCATCAGTCTCCAGGTTATAAGATCTAAGTACACCATCTAAGCAGTTTATGGTTGGTTTCCAGTTGCAACAGATTGTTGGGGTCCCTGCTAAGTGTTTTGGTCATATATATGCTACTTCTCACTCTGCATCCACTTCCACAAACACGGATGCATGGGAATGTATATCTATGAATTACTCATTGAGAAAGGATGAGCATCCCTTAACATAAAAATCAACAAGGAACAACATTCAACTCATTAAAAAAAAAAAAAAAAAAAACCTCAAAGTAGTATAAAATTCAAAACAAGTAAACAACAAAAACAATGAATAATGATAATTGATAAACACTTACAGTCTGCAGGTCCAGAACATGAAGATCATTGAAGAAGATTGAATGAGAACAACCACCAAAAATGAAAAGGTAACGTTCTGAATGAACTGCAGCTATGTGATCAAATCTTGGAGCTGGGGGTGTCTGCCTATCAAAACATATGAAAGTCATGCAGACCATTTCTGAAACTGGGAAACTAGCTGGCTATATAAACAGAAAAGATGCTTACATTGCCTCCACTGCATTCCAAGTCATCGTATCAAGATCAAGAATGTGGACATCATTCTGCAATTTCCTGTTATTATCTTCTCCACCAAATACTATCAGTTTAGAACCTACCAGAGTCACAGAATGACCCCCACGCACTACCTGGAACAGGACAGAAAAACAAAGTTGTCATTAGTGAAGACTACTGAGTACAGAACAATGAATTCTATCCTCGTCAATGATATAGATGACAACAAATTCAATGAAGGGGAGAAAAAAAAAAAAAGAAGTAAAAGAAAGAACATACAACAAGTTGGTAGTAAATAAAGTTAATCACTTACCGGAGCTTTTCCAGAAGTCTCCACAACACCACAGGCCTGTGTCTCAAGATCGATGAAGTGCACTACAGAATTCATTAACAAGCTCTAAGATTATACTTATCATGTTCAGTTCAAGGTCCATTAACATTGAGACATAAGAGTGATTAATTTCTTAACTAAGTCAAAAATAGTCGCTAAAAATACAAACCTATCATAGTATCACTAGTTTTCCTTGAATGCCCACCAAGAAGAAGTAACTTTCTTCCCCACTTGATCTGTAAGAAAAATTGGCATGGATGTAAATTCAGAACCTGTCTAGGTGTTCACTGAAAATTGTGCCAGGTCACTGCCTGAGAGTAAGGAAGTTAAGAAAAGTAGAATATGCAAGTGAAATGATGCATCCGAAGTCCTACCATACTATGACCTGAAATGGCTGTAATAACTTCTTGTGAGCTGCTGCCTCCTGGTTTGTCAGCAGATGGTTCAATTTTCATTTTGAGATTAGACCATGTCCAACTTCTAAGATCACAAACCTGCAGGAATATACATGTAGGAAATGAAATAAAGAAAAAGAATTTAAAATGCATAAGTAGAGGGACACAGGCCAGACCTGAACATCAGACAGGTATCGCCCATTACGGCTGCCTCCAGTAATATAAAGCTTCCCCTCAACCACTGCCGCAGCATGCTACAGTTACAAGAAATATAAGGTGGTAACCATACAGCTCGTGAATAATGCATAATAAGAAAACAGTTAAATGAAAATTATGAAAATTTTAAAAGGAACATGATGTCATTATAGTGCTCAAAAGAAGGTAAAAGATGTGATCCAACATGAAAAAGGAGCAACAATATGAAACGGATAAGTTTACAATTAATTATCTTACTTCACTCAGAAACATGATTTGATTGTTCACAGAAAACTACCTTGTATCGTGCAGATGGTTGTGGACCAGAAACTGGGAGAGCAACCCACTGCTCATAGTCCATTTCTGAAGGCCAGTTGCTGGTATAAATATCCCTTAAAATTTCCTCTGTTTCCATTCCAGCTGATAGCATGTCACACAAATTCTTCAATCTAGAAATAAATTAAATTGTCTTAGTTTACAATAAGGTGACTAAACAAGCTAAGCTTACTGATATTAAAGAATGCAATTCACCCGAAAGAAATTGATATTGATACTCATTCGTATTACTTGAACATCGTTTTAATATGAAAAGAAATCATTAGAGAAAGCATGCATCAAACAAATGATTCTGAAACTTGCAAGTACTCAAAATTCACTTTTCATTGCCTTTCTATTGAAAATCAATCAACTTAAAATTTTCAAAATCTTTGTAACTAAACCAAGTGGAAATCCAAAGACAATGGCAGATGGTAAAGTTAACAACCTAAATACCAAATTCCAACAGTAACAGGAATCAAATCCAAATCAACCTCATCCCTAGCATTCCGTCAACCCAAATCAACATTTCGAGTTATCTTCGAATCCCAAACATCGAAATTCACAGTGCAATTTTACTTTCTCAAATCTTCAGTATTTCTACAACCAAAGAGAAAGCTGAAAATCCAACTCTTCTATGTAAACTATAGAAATTCGACCGTTAAGGCCGAAATTAATTCATTATAAACTAATCCAAACACGGAGATCTAAGTCTGGAATGATAGATTAGAGACCTGAATCGAGAAGAATGACGGAGAAATCGGAGATGATGTTGGAGGCGGAGGTTCGCCTGGATCTGAACAATGCGAGAGAGATCGGACGGCGTTGATTCGTCGGCGAAACGATAGAGACAGTGAGATCTGAATCTCCAGCTTCTGCAACAATCGTTAAAGTTAAACGGCAAAATGCCAAAGTCGTCTTACGTTTCCCTTCCGTCAGTTAAGGAACTGTTTGTTGCTGCTTCAGTGCTTCACTTTATGCGCCAAATTATAAGAGAAGCCTTCGCCATTTTCAATTATTCATAATTTGTTTTTTCTTTTTTTTTTTTGGAAAATTTTAATCACTGTTATATCTGAAATTTTACAAAAATAAAATAAGCACAACGTAATTTATAATACTTTTTAAATGTTTAAAAATCATTTTTTTAAATAATAAAAAAAGAATTACATTATTATTACAAACTATAGATATTTCACTTTCTTCCTTCTACTTTACATAACTTCATTTAGAATTCCACTATATTTTATTCGTAACTTCTCTTTATGTCATTTATAACTCCACTTAAACTTTATTTATAATCAATAATTAATGTAAGCCCCACATACCCTTATATAGTGAAATGGAAGAACAAAAGCGTACTTCTAAGTTTTTTTTTTTTTTGTTATCATACTTTCTCATTTTTTATCTCATTGTCTTGCTCTTCTTTATAGTGTTTTTACTCTCTCATTCTCAAATAATATTTATTTTATAACAATTATTGTTTTTTCTTATTTTTTTTTATGAAAAAGAGATCAAATAAGGAACGTTTTCCTCTCTCATCTCCTAAACAAATCTTTAATCATTTTTTTTTTTTTATCTCAAGCTTTGAAAGATAAAATTTATCTAGGCAAATAAATGCGAAATTGAAATTTTAAATGATTTTATATATTGGAATAATGCTAGAGGGGCTGAATTGAAGCCCATGAAGAACCGGGGAGACTGACAGCCAGACGACATGCAAAAAGCCCAAAGTGTGCAAAGAGGCCAGTCCTGGCCTCGACTGGAGAAGAAAACAGACCGAGGCCTCGTAAATTACCATGGGCTACCTACCCTTAATCTTCCTTGGTTGGGTCAGCCCCTTAACCTATCATCTTCATTTTTCCATTTTCTATTGCTTTTCTTTTTTCTTTTTTCTTTTTTTGAAATATTTTCAGGGAGTCGGGTTGCCTTCTTTAAAAACATTCTGAATAAATTTTTCTTTGGAAAGGCACAAACATTCTGAATAATAAATTTTTCTTTCGAACTTTTCTTTACTTGTCACAAAATTTATTTTTAAATTTTAATTTAAAATCGAAGTTTACTTAACTTTTTTTATTTTAATGTTCTCTATATTTTTTTAGCTAAAATATTCTAATGTTCTTAACATCTTGTGTTTTGAAGCTATGTTTTTCCAATAAACATAAATAAATAGATAAAATCACGGAAAGAAAAATGAAAGAAAATTGTGAAAAAGTTTCTAAATAAAAATTTTGAAAATGTGTGTAGTGGTCTACTTTTGGATCATGTGTTATAGCTATGATGGTAGAACATTTTGCAAGCAACGTAGAGAGACAGTTGTCACTCAAAACGTATATTTGAACAAAGGAGAGGATATCAGGATATAGCTAGCCTCCACTACCCATTTGGAGATGGAGAAATTGGGTAGGTGAATTAGTGGGGATACATATGTGGCCTCAGATTTCTAGTGTATCTCCTCTTCCGGCTGATATTGATATGCACTCAATATAAAATAAATATCTGATACGGTCAGTTTCCGTGCTCTTGTTACATACCTTGAAGATTGCCATGAAAAATGTGGTGAAATCATGAATGAAAGGAGAAGAGAAACACCAATTAGTTAAGAGTTCCTCTGCCATCTGTTAGAAGAAGCAATTAAGTGTGGACTGTGTAGTTTTTTTGTGGCCAAGAATGAAGTGTGGAGTTAATTATGCAATTGTGTAGTGCATGTAGACTTGTAGACATTACTTCCAAGTATGAATATGAACCGAAGGAAGGACAAAGATAATTGATTGCCCATTTTCGAAACTTTTTTTTAAAGTCAAAAGTGGGATAAGAATCTATATTGAATTGCATGCAGACAGGAAGCCAGTCCACCACCACTCCCTCCACCAACACCACCAACAAGCAGCCACGTTCCGAATTGTTATCATCATTTAAGGTTGTAGAAAACACAGTGACAGAAGCAACTAAAAATTCAGCTTCTTAATTTTTTTTTTCAGTGTGGATGAGGGCTAAGTTTGCCATTGCATTGCCTATAAATAGGGTTCTACCTTAACCATTTTGAATCACAAATTAAGGCTTGGTGACTAAAATTGTGAGTGACTGAGAGGTACATTACATGTATGAGAGTAAGAGATTAATTACTTAAAAACTTGCATTGAGTCCCCTGGCTCGAAAATGATGAGCTCTAGAGTTATAGGTGCTGTTTTCTTGATTTTGCTCCTTGTTGACCTGTGCTTTGCCGCTAGGTCATCCAATGCTATTTCTGAAGGAGGTGGCGGTGGGGGTGGGGGTGGAAACGGAGGAGGAGGAGGAGGTGGGGCTGGTAGTTTAGGGTCTGGTTCGGGATACGGTTCAGGGAGTGGCAATGGGGGCGGAAAAGGAGGGTCTGCGTCAGGTGGTGGTGGGGGAGGTGGGGGTGGCGGTGGTGGAGGCGGTGGAGGGTCGGCTGGTGGGTCTGGTTCTGGATATGGGTCGGGGTCTGGCTCTGGATATGGGTCTGGTGGTGGGGTAGGACATGGAGGAGGTGGTGGCGGTGGAGGAGGTGGGGGTGGTGGAGGTGGAGGTGGAGGCTCTGGAATGGGAGGTGGATCAGGGTCTGGATCAGGATATGGAAGTGGGTCTGGATATGGAAGTGGTAGCGGTACAGGAGGAGGTGGTAGCGGTGGTGGAGGAGGAGGAGGTGGTGGTGGTGGTGGTGGCGGCCATGGCTCTGGCTACGGTGGTGGCTCAGGATATGGATCAGGCTCTGGCTCTGGATATGGAGGTGGCGGAAACGATGATCACACACCATGACCACGTAATCGATTCAGGTAGCTGCATTCAATCTTTAGGATTTATAATAATTTCGGAATAAAATTGCAGCGTCTTTGCTGCATGTATCTGCATGGACTAATAGGAAATTTGCATATGTAGAATTTAATCTTGTGGCACAAGACACCATTATTATGTCATTACTACTACTACTGTATCAATCCAAATAAAATAAGTAAAAATGTAGATCATGTTTTCTTCTTTGAATAATCCATCCTGCCTGCCATGATTCCCCACAAAAGTAGATTCACCAAGAATAGTTATCAACAGACATCTTACAAATCAGATTTTCGCCAAAGCATCTTACAGAATCACTAATCAGAAATAACAATATATTGCTAATAACTTTAGAAGTTGCAACTATAAATTGAAATAAATGAAGCTAATTTTAATATTCTGTCAAGCAATATTACGGGCTATTACAACAGCATCTCTCTCTTTTGTGTTTTTCTGAATGAATATAGTTCATAACCTGAGAAGAATCTCCATTAAAAGGCTCTGCCGATTAAAATTTCCCGTTTCTTGTAACTGGCATCCCCATTTTCAGATTTGTCACCCACACCAACTTGACAGTTGACATGCGGGAATGAATTTGGACATGTTTCTAATCAACTATACGACTGGGAAGTTGTAACTTGTAAGTAGGTCCATCAAAAAGAACTCTCAACAAGAATGATTTCAATAATCAGAAAACTAATCCATCATCCTCTCAGAAGCATTAGCTACCTTTTGCATTATCATGGACTCTGCTTGACGAATTGCTCTCTGTGATCCTGTGATTGTGACTTTCCTGCATGTAAGGAACAAAAATGCAGGGAATTAGAGATTTGGCCAACAACTGAACTTCAGGATGCATGCCAAAGAAAACACGGTCCTTTTCCATACCTATCTGTTGTTCCTGACATGAAATCTCCTCTATCTGATATCTTTATCCTGGCTCCGCTAACCTGCAATAACGAAGTACTCTACTTCAGTACATATGTTTTTCCTTTCAACAACATATCACAAATTATGGAACCACCGAATGGTATGATGAATCATTTATAAACCTGACTAATTTCGCTAATGTTCCTTCCACCACGACCAAGAACCAAACCAATGTGTCCATCGGCAACACCAATTGTTACAGAGTTGCTATAGTCCTCCTGGATATATATTAAGGTTCGTCAAAATCTACTTAAGGATAAACATGATAAGTGCTTCACTTCAGAACATCAAGCAATGAAATGAACCCATCACTGAATAATTTTCATTGGTCAGACAATGTAGAATTATGGGTATAAGACTAAAAAATAGCTCTCAGAAGTGTTTTATATAATAACAATTGATCTTCATCTTGTTGTAGGCAATCAGCTTTGATACAAAAAACTATGTCAAGACATAAATTACTAGAGTAATATTCTCTGCAATTCTTCTCTTTGTTGATATAATTTATCTGGTAACTATAAAAGCAGAATAAGCACATTTTTAATATGATTTCTTCTTATCTCTTGCAATCCATACCACATTCCATTTCGTACCCTCAAAACCTTAATTCTGCATACATTTGATTACCATAAATTAAAATCTTCAATTATATTTTTAAATCATGGCATCAACATATACAAATCAGCATCTACAACAACCTATCCCTCATTTTACACTGTCAAAACTACAAACTGATCTACCCAGATCAAGCAGTTGAAAATGTAAACATAAAGAATCAGGCACCAACATTCAGATTCAAGCATTGTGTAATAGGATGAACCTTCTGATTCTGAAATTTTGCTCCTCCAGCCCCATTTGGTGCATAGTTCATTGCATTGTATGCTGCTGTTGGAACAGAAGGATTCACATATGCATATGGAATACCATGAAAACCAGAGAAGAAAACACCTAAAAGTTCAAGTTAAAGAAATCTTACCAGGACTAAGTAAAAGAAATCATACTGGGAATAGAATTGCACCATGATAAACCCGAATAGAAAATTAGGTCAGGAACAATGACAAACATGCCACAAAAAAAAAAGAAAAAAAAAAGAGAGGATATCTCACATCTAAATTTTATAAAACAAATGACCAATAATAGAGACTGTGCTTTAAAACATCAGAAAATGCTTCAGACAGTTCCATGCATCCTCCAGGGCTCTTTCATGACAAGGAGGTAGGCAGCAGCAACAAAATCAGGAATTTTGACACAAATGTCTCACGTGCTCAAAGTGCTTGCCATGTTTCCTACTTGTAAATTTTATTAGAAGACTTTAGAACTTTCTGGAGTGCAATTTCTTTTTTGGATATTAGCATCTGCATAATAAATGCAATAGTGGAGCGCCTGTTATCCTCCACATAGAATGATTAAGTGTCATTGATGAACTTGTAGTGCATGGTTTAACCCAGCAATTGAATTTGTAAGAATAACCTTCTTAAGTACTTCAGCCATTTTCTCAAAAAACAAGAACCACAGTTGGTGAATGCATGCATGTGCGAGTGTGCACACTAAAATATCATAAATCCAGACAGAAGATTTCTGTAAGGCCTGTGTGTAGGGATAAGTAAGATATGTGAAACTGATAGCAACTGCTTGGTAAACATAAATTTGCAACAGACTATGCTCAATGCCACAACCAACATGAAATGTAAACAAAGATACCAGTGAGACAACAATGGATAAAGCTAGCGTATAGAGAAAGCAGGTGCTGATTTGAACAGAGAAAACTGTGAGATTCAACTAGTTGGAAAAGGACAGACCTGCATATGAAAATGGAGCATGAATATTCTGTGAGTAATGAGGATCTTCAGCTAGCTTGGGCAGAATCAATTCAAATGCTCGCATCTGCTCATCTAGAGTGCCAGTCAATGTCACTAGCCTGTCATTCAACCCGTAATAATTATTATCCTGAGGGGAAATCTTAATGCCAGCTTGGGAATCTTCAATAAACGACCTGCATGAAGGCAAACATCAATATCAGCTCTTGCCTTTTGTAATCTGTTTAAGGCAACAAACACACAAGGGACTGAAGAACATAATTTATTAGCTCCCAACCACCAAAAATGAAAATTGCAAAAATTTCTAAACTTTCACGCATCAGAAATTTATGACAATCAGATGATTCTTACTTTATTGTAGACCCTCCTTTCCCAATTATACTGCCACAAGAGCTATTGGGAACAATTAGCCTCACTTTTGTTCTTGGTTCAGCATCATCTCCATCATCAACATTTAGCTTACCAAAACAAGAAAAAATTAAGTAATCAACAAAAGTAAATAGAAGTACTGGCCTTGAGTCTATGTCATGAAGGCTACCTCACTCAACAATTTAGCTAGGATAAGTTCCAAAGCTTTGAGTACATCGTCAATTGTCCCTGAGATCATAATAATCCTATCTGATGTTCCTGGGAAAAACTCATGACTGCGAGACAACTGAATTCGAGCTCCTGACTTTGACTGAAATTCAGTAATTGTTGAGCCACCCTTTCCAATGACAGAACCAGCTGCAGCATTGGACACAAGGAACCTGACATATGTGGATTTCTCCACATGATCTGATGGGAAGAAGCATAAGCAAAGAGAAACATTATTATAAATAACAGTTGATACACATATTTATTTCTGAAGAATCATTTCTGAGATCATACATAATAGAATAGAAGATAAATTATCAGGCTTGATTAAGTTCATTTTTGAGTTGCTTTTCTCACATATGCGAGATCCATTATTAGGTGCTGTGAGCTGTTCTGTTTTAAATGGCATATCACTTTTCTTTTAATATAAACTCCCTACTGATTTCACATGGCATGGAATTAAGAACTCAAATTTGTTATCTGAGTTACATAAAGTTCAACAAAAAAATAAAGCCCTGTCTTATCAATGTAATGCCAACTATGCAAACAAGCCTGCCATTCATACTTGATTACTATAATTTACTACTGATTTTACTTCCAAAATAAATTCCTACTCACACCAGACCATGTATAATCAATCATCTCAGTCAAGTTTTTAACAGTTTCATCATTAACAGAAGCAAGTAATGATATGCCAAGTGACACTCATAGATTTATTCTCTCTCTAATTCTATTCTTCCCTTTTAGCAGCATCAAAATGAACTTGATTAATTTTTTCCTTTTTATTTTTTTTTTCTTTGTTCTTTTTCATATATATAAGAATCAAGCACAATGGCAAGGTCCCTGGAATTTGAATTCACCAATCTTAAAACAAAAGGAAAAAAAAAAAAAAAAAAAAAAAAAAAAAAAACAAACCGACAAAATTCAGCCAATCTAACACATTAACATTTACACTACATCACAATCGCTCACAATATAGAAAACTGAACGGAATCAACGCCATTCACTCAACAAAGAAAGTCACAGCATCCGAACAATGATACAAGATCAGATCAGAGATTACCTGAATCAGGAGATTTCGGCTGCGGAGGTGGAGATCTGTTCCTCAGCCCCTCCGGTGATGAAACGTAAGACGACTCCGTGGATTCCATCCCTCTCTGCTCTTCCCTTCTTCTTTCTCAAACACACAACATCAGTATTCAGTACACATATGACACATAAATCTCTTAAAAACTCAAAAGAGTAAGAAGCTAAATCAACTCCATTGCTAAAAGAAAATGCAGAGATCAGTAAGCAGATTACCAGTAACAGAGATATACAGTTGCAGATGGAGATTTGAGGAAAAGTTTTTGCCTGAGTCGCAGCGGTTTGTTGACGGAGCTGGAGATGTTGAAATTTTTAAGCTATCTATCCAATCGGTTGTGTGTTGTGTGTGGGAAGAGACGGTGCGTTTTACTGTTTGTTTATGCGGCTATCTCTGTCTCTAATATACTAATATCTCTCGCTTTTCAACACGTAATCAAACGATCGGTGCAAATTGCAAAAGCCACTCCGTTGCCAGCTTGCGTAACGTGAATTTTCAACGCGTTGATTCCCCCTTCTCTTTTATTCAAATTAAATTACTGATTCTCCGCTCCTCTATTTATTTCTATAACCATTTGTTGGGATCCTTTCTTTTTTTTTTTTTAAAGGTTTGTCTAATAGTGTGTAAATTAAGATATAATAAATATATATTTTTATAATTAATTAATATAAAAAATAATAAAAATTTATTTTTTTTTAAATATTATTATTACGTGAATAATTTTAATTAATTAATTAAATTTAAATTAATTTTTATATATATTAGTTATAAAAAAATATATTTATTACATTTTTATTTTATACTCTAAAGACACATGATAAAATTTTTTTAAAATAGTATAGTGATAATGCGTTATTATATAATTATAAATTTATAATTTTATAATTATGATGTTAATAAACACTTTTTTTTATACTGCTACCTTATGATTAGTTATATATAATAAATCTCAACCCACAAAGTCAAGCATTTATTTATTTTTAAATAAAACCTCTTACACTGTTAATTTTAAGGTCACTTTTTAAAAACATTTAATGTTGCAAATTTACCTTCATTTTTCTT